GCATTACGCTTTCTTTGCTTTCAAGCAGTATGATCAGCTCTGATAGCTTCTGACTGCTTTTAAACCACACCAAAGGTAGCTAAAAGTATATTTTTCTTAGTACCAACTAGCAAGAATAAGCTCTTTGGAGCCTTTTAGAGCACTGAAACATTAAAAAAGTTCACAGAGCCTGGAGTTTTGCTACTGATGTACAGTAAATACAATGAAGTGAATACCCTGAGGTCTGCCCCTTTTAAAATGTGCGTATACGGTTCTGCCATGCATATGTTTACCTGCTGCTCTCTTTGCCTTTGTAGAAATAAAACACGCTGGTTCTCATGAGGTCATCTCAGAGCAACTCTGAACCACAGGCATTGGTCTGGAAGAATATTTGGGGGACAATTATTTCGGGAGGTAATGTAGCTTAATGCTTAGTTCTCTGACACCTACATTGAAATGTAACTGTTTCCCAGTCACTTTACTTGTCTTCGTTTCTTTCCCTTAACTCTCTTTTCTTTACTGGCCCTAATTTAGGAAAGTATTTAGTCCTATTCAGGATCACACTTAAGCATATGCGTAAGTGCCCTTCCTGAACAGGGATACTTTCCTGAACTGGACCTTAGACTATCAGCTCTTGCGGAGAGTTGCTCTCTGTAAATGTTCCCACACTGCTCCAATGAGGGCGACCTGGTCTCAGCTGGAACTTCTAGGTACCGCTGAACCCATTTTCCTGTTGAAGGGAAAAGACCTGAAATTTTCCATTTCCCGCAACTTGGAGGATCTGAATCAGACTTATAATCTCCCTTTTATATGAAAAGCAGCAAAAAGGCAACTAGCTGAGTATGGTTTTAAAAAAAAGTTCTTAACAGTTCCAGTAATTACTCATTTTATGAATCCATCTATATTTAAAGTGAGCAAAACCAAGTTCTTGCCTATAGTGTCTGCTGCAAATAATGCTGCTTTACATTTGGAGAACTGAATAAGGAAACAGAACACAATCTTCCAGGAGTTTCTTTCCTTTTTAGTTCTTGTAACTCGGGGACTTACTATAACAAGAGCCCTTCTTTCTGTGAAACCTGCTTAACATACTGGACTAAACAAACTATCTCCTAAAGAAAGTATGAGCATTTTTTTATGCCTTGCTCTGGGATTGGCTCTTGAGGCTGCTTTTGCATTTGTCGATGTACTAATTGAGCGATGCTTTTTGGACAGCTTCTGTGTTCTGATTTGTTTTGTTGTGCTTTTTTTCCCTCCCTCCCTTCTTCCCCTTTTAATTTGTCTAGGCAAAAAAAAAAAAAAAAAA